AAATCAAAGGATGGGAATATCATCATGGACAAAGACAAGATACTAGAACGTTGGACAGAACATATCGGTGACCTGTACAATGACAAAAGAGATGAACAAAGAAGAAGGGAAAATAACAACGAGGGACCTCCAATCATGAAAGAAGCAGTTATCAAAGCGCAACGAAAGATGAAGAATGGGAAAGCTGCAGGACCGGACAACATTATCACAGAGATGATGAAAGCTTTAGAAGACTTTGGAATCACCACGCTGACAAAACTTCTTAACAACATGACTCTATGACACTGGACATATTTCATTAGACTTGTTAAAATCTATCTTCATAGCTTTACCAAAGACTCCTAATGCAAACGAATGTGAAACGCATCGTATCCTCAGCCTCATGAGCCATATAACAAAAATACTCCCCAAAATAATTAAGATGAGAATACGAAATAACATTCTCCCAGGAATAGCCCAAGAACAGTTTGGATTTATTGAAGGCCAAGGTACAGTAAATGCACTATATGTCATCAGAACAACAATAGAACGTGCCCTAGAAGTTCAGAAAGATCTTCATTTATGCTTTATAGACTACACCAAGGCATTCGACAAAGTTAGGCACGACAAGATCATCGACATGCTAGAAGTCCTCAATATCGACGGGAAGGACTTAAGGATTATCAAGAACATGTACTGGGATCAAACTGCTGCAATGAGAATAGAAAACGACATCAGCGAATACATACAGATTAAAAGAGGAGTCAGACAGGGATGTGTACTTTCTCCAGACTTGTTCTCCCTGTATAGTGAAAATATCAAGAGACACCTAGAAGAAATGACAGGTATCTCGATAGGGGGATATAATAAAAACAATCTAAGATATGCAGACGTCACAGTCCTATTAGCAGAAGATGAAGAACACCTGCAGAATCTATCAAATGTCATCGTACAAGAGAGTGACAACATGGGCTTAAACCTAAACATCAAGAAAACCGAAACGATGGTGATAAGCAGAAAAACTCCAACCCCAACATGAAATATCAGAATCAATGATACCACCCTCAAGCAAGTACAACATTTTAAATATTTGGGGACCATTATATCATCAGATGGTAAATGTCACACCGAAATTAAAAGCCGCATTCGCCAAGCAAAAGTAACCTTCCACAAGATGAAACAGATACTAACAAACATCAATCTGTCACTGGAAATGAGGAAAAGAGCACTGAAAAGTTACATCCAGCCAATCCTATTATACAGGTGCGAAGTGTGGACAATCAATAAACAGCTGGAAAGAACAATTGTGGCGACAGAGTTGTGCTTCATAAGACGCATGCTACGTATCCCATGGAGAGCTAGAAAAACAAATGAAGAAGTCTTGGTTGAACAAATTATAGAAGACAGCTTGTGACGAATATAAGAAAGCGACAGGCAAATTTCTTTGGACACCCATTGCGGAAAAAAGCATTGGAGAATATTGTAATAACAGGCAAGTTTGATGGAAAGAGAGGCAGACGCAGACAGATGGGAAAGATGCTGGACAGGTTGACAACATGGCTAGGAGCAGCAAGAACAACAGACACCATTGCTGCAACGCAAGACAGAGTGAAGTGGAGGCCATGATCGCCCGCGCCAGTCGGCAAGGCACCGGATGATGATGGATGATGATGGTAGAAATCGGTGGTTGAAGGGTGGCGGGCGATAGGTAGATAGATAGATAGATAGATAGATAGATAGATAGATAGATAGATAGATAGATAGATAGACGTTTAACGTATCACAAACGTATGGCAAACGACAATTTCCCGAATCGGTGTAAGTTTTTACGACGAAAGATGTAACGATGTACCGATGTAACGGTGTAACGATGTAACGATGTAACGGTGTAACGATGTAATGATTTAGCGATGTAACGATATAACGATGTAACGATAAACGATAATAGAGGTAACGACGTAACGATGAAATGTGTATCGATGTAACGATGAAACGATGAAAGAAGTGACGATGTAACAATTTAACGATTTACCTTTGATTTAATGAAAATCGCACACTGCAGTCGGTGTAGAGAGGCACAGGACTCAGCTGATATAGGCGTAGAGAGGCACAGGACTCAGCTGATATAGGCGTAGAGAGGCACAGGACTCAGCTGATATAGGCGTAGAGAGGCACAGG